AGAGAGCGACAAAGGCATGACAGCAGTAACGGGAAAGCAGTACCGTCACCCTTATCTCCAAGCACAAGCAGTTGTCAGTACAGGGCTACATAGAGTAATCCTTCGTGTGTAGCCTCACTAGAATCGTTAAGCGTAAAAAAGCTAGCTTTTCGAGGATTAAGCTACGGCCCACTTACTTCATCTATACGAGCAAGAGCAAAGTGGAGATCAGTGTAAGGGATAGAGCTGTTCAATGGCGCGGAGAGAGCGGTATCAAGGCGCATAATCAGGGCTAAACAGGTATCCCTCCCTGCAGCCGGGAGAACGCTTTCGAAGATCAGGTTTCGGGTTCCTCACGCCTTAACCGTGGCAAGCGTCTTCATCGAAAGTAACGAAGGATATTAAAAAGGAGGGAATGGTCCTGGACAGGTGTTGCGACGATTGTATCCCTTTGTGAAGGTGCTGTCCGTATTTCCTCCCGATTCCCTCATTTTCACGCTTAGTCTTGTCAAAACACTCCGGACAGAGCGTCTTTCGCAGACGCCACAGGGCGATGGTCAAAGGGCTGCGGCCAAATGGCGTTGCCCTCGCTCACCTGTAACCTAGGGCGTCTTCCAGGCAAGTGATGGCCCGCGTCAGAGCGTCCTCCTCGCTCATCTCGGCTATTCTTACACTCCTGCTTCGTTTCGGCTGCACGGCCTCCAAGGAGTCGGCGATGCTCGGCAACGACTGGGTTTCGACAGACAACAAGGCGAAGGGCCGCGATGTGTGAAACAAACACGCCCTCAACTCACTGAAAAGACTTCAGCACATCCCTTCCGACTGTGGTAATTTTTTTAGTGTAAGTTAGCCTGTGACCACGGGAATCGACCGCGTCAAGTGTTGGATCAGTACGGACATATGAAGGTACTGGGTAGAGAGAGATCGGAACGGTTTTTACTGTGAAGACAACAACAACAACGACAACAACAACATCTCGCATTGGTGTATTTAGTCTTTCCGAGAGATTATGTTTACTTTCTAAAGAAACATGAGAAAGCTCCCCGCTCGTCAACGCCCTCCCAATTGGAGGGAATCTCTCGAAGCAAAAGCGCACGAGACTTCCCACCAGACAACCCAGTTTCTTCCAAAGGAACTTTGACGGACAAAATACGGCCCTGTTCGGGGGGGGGGGCACTCTCATGTAAACCCCTGCCGAAATAGTTAGACTGGACTTCGCATCCCTGCGCCGGGACGGAGCAGCGAATATGCCGGGTTTCCGCCGACCCAGGCTACGGTTCACAACAATGAACCAGAAGTGGGTCGTCTTCCTTGCTTTTGCTCTGTCAAGCCAGATATGTTATATGGGTTGATTGCGGGGAGGCGCACTCCCGTAGTCGCTAGACCATCTACCACGCGTCCTCGAGAGGAAGAGTCATTGCTTCTCCCACGGGACCGATCGCCGAATTACCAACCGTTCCTTCCAATGTACTTTTCCAAAGGTGGCTCCCAAGGGGGTGTAGTGTGGGAGTCTCAAAAACGCCGGTTGAATGTAGCACCGGTGAGATTGCTGGGCACAGACTGAATGAGACCCAGTCATTCTGCACTTCGAATAGCGCCGGTCCCTCAGAATAGCACCGGTCGATTCGGCCGGGCACATACCGGCGTTACTGAGGACCAACTACTGTACTCTGAGCCGCGTCGCCGCCCATCTGCCCCTCTACGAAAACGCCTCCATCACCTTCGGCATCTCCGGCAAGCCCTCGTAGCCCGCAGCGCTGGATCTCCGCTCGAGAGCCCACAACGGTGAGCGCCCTGCCCTTCTCCGCATCTCCGCCTCGTCCGACGGTTCCATCGAGGTCATGGCCCTACCTCTCCTCGGCGATGCCGACGAGTCCACCTCCGCCGCCGCGGCCGCGGCCGCGGCCGCCGCAGCCGCCGCCGCCGCTGTCAAATCTCCCCCGCCCTGGTGCTTCATCTTCAGCCTGGCCGGCATCATCATACCCCGGAGAAAGCCTTTCTTCGGCGACGAGCGAGGCTTTGCTTCGCGAGGTCTGAGGCCGCTGTCGCCGCGCGAGAGAATGTTTCGGGGGCTCCGTGAGGTGGAGCCACCGCCGCCGCCGCTGCCGCCACCTGTGGCGGGGGTAGTAGCCCCGTCCGTGGCGCCCCCGGAGGCGTGCTGCCCGCTGGAAGGGGCGAGGGGCACCCTCTCGCCGTCTCTTTTGCGGCGCCCCCTCCCTTCTTGGTAGGAGCCCCACGCCCCTTCCCACATCCTGCTGCTTCTCTTGCTTCCGTGCCCACCCCTCCTGTGGTGATTTGCGGTCGGTGGGATAGGGCAGCGCTTGCATGAGTGTTTGCGGGATGGACACCACGTGCTTCGGTTGTAGCAGCAGTGGTTTCGCGCCCTCATGTCATTCTAGATGGTGTAAATTCAATTGCTGAAAGACTAGACCACCCGTTCGAAGTATTGATGAGCCGCGGAGTGGCGAAAGTCGAGGCCTTCTTTGGCAATCATCACTGGATTTATCTGCGGTTGGAGGGTAGTCGAGGGCCTCCATCACTGAAAGACTGCCCGTTCGAGACAGCACCACAGCAGTCGAAAGGGCATACCTAAGTTGAAAGTCTTAGCGATGAGTGGCGAAGAACAGGTTTGCCGGTCCTTCGCGTCCGTGGATGAGAGCTGGGCCACCGAAAACAGTGGGGGCTGGCTCCCCGTGCCAAAAACCAAAAGCTTGCGCTGCTGTTTCTTCAACATAGGAAAATGAAATTTCTAGGGACTTAAAGGAATAAGACGGTCTGGAATAAGGCGGTCGCCCTACATGAGGCCGGTGAAGCTGGCTGGCATAGACGGAGCAATCGATTAAGGTTGTTCTACACAATGAATACAATGGGGCGGATGCCCCATAAAGGCGGTCATTATCAGCTGAACCGCCACCGCCTTCTGCAGACCTTCACCGTACTCGTTTGTAATGAGCCGCGGATCGCGAAGCGCGACATTTTTTCCCCTCGTCCCCAGGAGGAAAAAAAAAGGTTCTCCATATATCGGCCAAAGTTGCGCCGCGCGATACAGGGGCCCCAAAATTTGACTACAACGGGGAAGCCGAAATAACGCACCTTCGGGACCAGAACGACATCTATAGGGCACCGATTGACGATCTGTTCGCTTCTGAGGAAGAAGAAAAACAGCGCGCTCTTCGTCACACTGGTTTGGTCGTGCTCCGATAGCAGATGGCCGTGCTACACAACAAGTGTTTGTGCCCGAAATTCGTAGGAGATCTTGCTCCCCAACCCCGGGGTTTCAACGCGAAAAGGCGTGTATACAAAAGCGGAGATCGCGCGCGCACGCGATTCAAACCAGGAGAAGAAACAGAGACAGCGGCGCAACAACACGACCAAAAAAAAAACGCATCACCGCTGGGACGCTCATCCGAGACCAGCTTTGAAAAAAAGGAGGGGCCGAACCTATACGACCTGTGCGCCGTGGGTAGTCATGCGTCATGTGTAACCTGGCCGCGGTGTATATTGATGTTAAGTGGGGTTCAACCGACTGCCAAAAAAACAAATAACAGCAGACCGACCACCCTGGACCGACAGATGATCACACCTATCATCGAGATAAACCGTTGAGGGCGTGAGGGTCTACTGCTGTGCGCTATCAGGATGGTTACCCGGGATCGGCTCAGTCAGGTTGCTGCCTACTTGCGCCGCGCTACTGACTGTCTTTCCAAAAGCCGTGCCCTGCCTGATGCTGTTGCTGCTGCTGTGGGTCTCTTTCACATCAAAGTCATGGCCATCAACGGCTTTTGTTTTTGGTGCATGTGTTTGTTTTTGTTGTCGTAATGTCCCGTGATGTACCGTATACGACACAAGATAACACACCCCCTGGACCGATTTTCAAAGCTCGATTTCTCATCAGTAGAAAGAGTCACAGCGCCGAAGACGGCGGCGTTGAAGCTGTCTCGTTCGAGAGCTTTCCGGAAGCGTTTCGTTTCGTTTATGCACCCTCTTCATCGTGGCGTAATCGAGCTTTGAAAATCGATCTAGGGGGTGTGTTATCTTGTGTCGTATACGGTATGCAGTTGCTTGCTTTCTTCACTTGGCGGGAAATTCGGAGGCTCGATCGAGACGACTGTGGCGGGCATCTATCTGTCACCATCCCATGTCCGTCTACGCTGCTGCAGCTCGAGCTCCTCGGCAGTGTGATGTGTGATACGCTCGGCGCCAGGTAAATGCCGCATGCGTGCGTCTTCCAGATGTGCATGTTTGCCTCCGCACAGCGGGAAGACTTCATATTTTGGTTCTTCGTGGGGCGTGTGTGCATGCGCATCAATGGAAAAGAAAACTAATAATACCGCATAAAAGAGTGCAAAATTTTGAACGGGCCGCACATACAACCATGGTCGCACCTGCCGCACCCGTTCCTCTGGTGCACGTAGCTGCACCACAAACCATTCACGCTGCTGTGTGTCGTCATTCGTGCACCACCATCAGCATCGCAGACAAGACTACTCCCGAGGTATTGAGTCGCTACCCCGCGGCTCATTACCCCGCCCCATCTAGTACACCCGACCGCGGGCGGTCCCACTAGAGAACATTCCTGTCCCGTGGTGTGCGGTATAAAGTTCTAGAAGTAGAACCTGAGACCGTTGCGGACCGAGGAAACAGAACAGGGAGGGGGTACGCAGACCGTATCCCTGATCCTGATCCGAACCCTAACCCAACTTCCCCGATTGCATGCTATGCTTAATCCAACATGTTTGCTGAATGAACTAAACCCCCCGAAGGAAACTGAACGTTCCAATGTATCGAAGTGGTGTGAGCTACATTATAGTCTGGAACACGCATTTTGTGTTTCTTCAAAAAAGTTATATGCGTTTGTTTCTAAAACGCGGCGTGCGCGGAGTTCCTGCTGGGGCGACTGCTGTGAAGTTGCTCAACAACGTGCTGTGCGGGAACTTTTCGGGTACGCCTGCCGAAGGTCGCGTAAGATACCACACTCCCCCGGACCGGTTTTCGAAGCTCGGTTACTCCCAGTAGCCTTCCCAGGGTTTTTCGTATGTAATATATAAACATGTTGGATAAATCATACCATGGTACAATCGGGGAAGTTAAATAAACATGTTGGATATATCATGAAATCGGGCAAGTTAGGTTAGGGTTAGGGTTAGGGAATACGGTCTGCGTACCCCCTCCCTGTTCTATTTCCTCGTTAAGTTATATATAGTCGCGGGAGGCGGCCCGTTACTCCACGAAGGGTATACGTAGCAAAATCAAGTATGACATGTACAAATACGCTTTCCGGAAAGATCTCGGGATGACGATTCCAACGCCACCGACCCCATTCTCGGCACCGCTACTGCCGTTGTTGCGGAGTACCGCAAGAGGCGGAGAGATGGCACCCCTCTTGACCGACTCTGAAAGCTCTACTGCTCCACAACCAAGGATGTACAGAAAGATACACAGTGGCATGACGCAAGATACCACACCACCTGGACCGCCTTGTTGTCAAAGCTGGATTACTCCACGACCAAGAGTATGCCGAAGGAAAACGAACCGTGTTCGGAAAGCTCGCGACGGGACGGCCCAACTCCGGCATTTTCGGCACCGTCACTTTCTTTCCTTGCCGAGTAATCAAACTTTGAAAATCGGCCCAGGGGGTGTGACATCTTATGCAACCTACGGTACCGACACGTTGTTGGTGGAAAGCCCTCGATGAGATGTTTCCGAAGCCACCATTTATGGTGTTGGCATCAGCTTGGTTGTGGAGCAATCGAGCTTTGAAAATCGGTCTAGGGGGAGTGCCATCTCTCCGCCTCTTACGCAATACCACGGTACGGTATACGGTACGGTACAGACAATCTTGGTTGTGGAGCAATCGAGCTTTGAAAATCGGTCTAGGGGGGGTGCCATCTCTGTGCCTCTTAATAAAATCGAGCTTTGAAAAACGGTTCCAGGGGGGGGTGGTATCTTGTGTCACCTACGGCACAGCGGTCCGTGAAGCTCTCTGTTCACGTATTTGCGTTGGCCTACAGCAGTATGTCCGACGAAGCCTCGAATGCACAGCAGTGCTGCAACCTCAACAAGCCCAAACCAACCGTGACAAAGGCCGCCGCGGATCTCCGTAGAGGTGAGCAAGTCGTTCACCGATCCTCATTCACCGATCCGCTACATACGCCGCACACCCGGCTGCACTCACTTGCTGCAACGACACAGCTTGTACATGAAGTGCTACTGCTTTTCAGCACCGGTTTCAGTACATGTAAATGTAGCACAAATGTAGTTTCATGCACCGCCGTACAGCAGCCGTAGCGCACCGAGAAAACGGAGCACAGTATCCTGCATCTCACGCAGAGTTCAACCAGTCGTGCCAGCCACTACTGTTCAACTGCTATACTACCTTGTTACGCCAATTTGGTACAGCAGTTGCAGTGGTACGCAAAATTGGTCAAGTACGACTCTCGCCAAAGAGGTATGTATGTATCAACCGTGATCAGGGATACGGGGACCTGACTAATATTAATTAATAGTCCGTCTTGGGTGTTGTTATCCACATGGGATACTAGTCTACATTCCCAGTGACTCATGCCGGAGGAGCAAACAATTGCAGGAGCAAACAGGTGCAGCAGAAGGATGCATCCCAGCGAGGGACGTATACGGCTGCAGCTCAACTGCTGTATTTGCGCGATACAGCGGTGTTGCTGTAGGTACAGCCATGACTAAGTTAAAGACTTTGCTGCTGATACACGCACACATGCCACGAACTCTGCAACCAGTCTGCCCCCCCGGCAGTCACAACCAAGTGTGCTCCCCCACATTGCGACCATATTCCCAGCCAAAAATTTTTCACCTTGCCTCCCTCCTGAGCTCTTCAAGTTGCGCCTGGCTGCTTTGCTGATCGCTCGTGTCTGTGTACGTGTTTTTTTGAAAAG